GCTATGTGCCACTGTTTTGCGAAAGGAGGAGAAGACTAATCCAGGGGTTCTGGCACACTGGGAGCTACCCTGACTCAACCTGTACAACTCGCTATGAATTTCAGTTTGTTCTCGGACAACAGACACCACACGTACTTTCTTTTCCTCCACACCCCACCAATTATCTATTACCCTGGACAGTCATCCAAAACCTGTGTGTCTCTTCTTCTTCTCATCACTAGTAGCAAGTTCACTTGAGTTTCAGCTTGTCAAAACTGCTAAGTTATGGTAAAACAGAAAGCTGGGGAAAGGAGCTTATGTTTCCTTAAAAACTGCTCTCAGGATGACATGGCCAGTTTTCTTCCCAGTAGAAAAAAAAAAAGGTAGGAGACACCTGGAAAGGGGTTATGCAAGTCCTACCCTGACATGGAGTTGGGAGTTAGGGTTTGCTCGCTGGTCCTGGAGCTTAAATGCAGCCAGAATCAATTCACCAGACACAACTTTCCCAGGTTTAGGGATCTATGCCCAGGGTAGAGACAAAAATGATCTATCCTGGCACTTCAGCATAACTAGCAGGTCCACAGCCTCCATCAGGCACACCGGCTGGAGGCCATGCAAGCAGCTCACAAAAGCCCTGGTGTTTGATCTTCATCAAATGTGAAACATGAAAATTTTTTGCCATTAAATAGCTGTGGAAACCTCTCTGCAATCAGGACTAGAGCTCCACCCAACTAGATCACTTTGCAAAGCAGAAGTGTTTGCTGCACCAGCTGGTGGGAAGTCCCTGTCCCTCACTCCCTGCTACCAGCAGTTCACCTGTATCACTGTCAGTGTCTCTGCAGGGAGATGCTGTACATGAAACATTTAAATAGGGCTTATTTAAATGACTAAAGAGGAACTAATAACTTCTGAACACATAATGAACAGGTATGGACAAATGTCTCTATAAAATGATGCATCATTTTCAACAAACTCTAGTGAAACTCAGGTCTCGGAGCATTAAAAGCAAGTACTTTTTTTTGTCTGATCCTGGAAAAACTGAGCAGGAACATTGGTCAGTTTGTGAATGGGGGTACAAACAGATTAAGCAAGCAATAAAGAGGGACTTCAATTAAATACAGTCTTACCAAGATCATGGCTTTGCTCTTTGGTGTCAAACAGTTGCACACCGATGGTCTCCTGCTTCTGATCCAGGTAATAGGTCCCATCAGTGACCAAGTGAACTAGGACTGCTGCAGCTACCATAGGCTGGGAAAAGTAAGCCTGGGAAAACAAAAGCCCCACAAAGGCTGAGGTGGAGAACTGTGGCTGGCTTTAAAAAACCCAAGAATCAGTCCAGGACTTTTGAAATAACAATTCAAATCCCAGGTCACACAGAAGTCTTCTCTTCCAATCTCTCCTACACAAACTAGATAAACTCAAGTCAAACAGCCCTTCAGCTGGAAGCTGTAACCTCTCAGAAATTCAATAGCCTTGTCACAGGAAGGGACTTCACCACAGACACTCTAGGCAGTGGTCAGAGATTTTGTTTTGCTATTTTGCACTAAACATACTTCAAAGAAAGGAGCAGCTTGGCCCAGGAAAGGCTGTCCCATGCCATTTTGCCTGTTGGAGAAACTTTGCACAAGCAGGCAAAGAGGAGACTTCTGAATGACATGTGCTCATCCTACCTTCAGCCAGAAAATGGTCTGTGTCATGTGGGAGTACTGGAAGTTGGCCGTGCAGGGATACCAGGCATATTGAGAGACACCATCGTTCAAGTCAATCACCTTAGTTCGACACATCTGTGGGAGAAAAAAAGAAACACCAAAACAGATGTAGATGACAGTAAGGAAGGATTATCACTGTTTAAAGTGGGGAAAAAAAGTCCAGGTGCAGTGCTAGAATGAAATAATACACAATAATGACGTTTCTAAATACCATGAGATTATTCAAAAGTTAAGTTTACAGATCTTCCACCTCAATAAGAAAAACTGCAACATGAAAAGGAGCTAAAGACTCACAGCTGGATGGCAGCCAACAGTTTCCTCTTAATGTGGGACAAGGTCTTTGACAGCATTCAGAACAACTTTGCTCCCACTCAAATGGACCACGACTCTTCCCACTGGAGTCCAAGTGGCGATCACTTCTGAACGTACCAGCTCCCAGCACAGCCAGCTTGCAGGTGCTCTCCACAATACTCAAGCAATGTCCTATTTAAACCTGCACGTTACTGTAACCCCAGGGAAGCCACAGATGGCCGTGTAAACTTGGAAACAAGTGTAGCCAGGAAAGGCCTGTCTCTACAACTCAATTTAAGCAAACTAGTTTCTTGTTTTGTTAACTAGCTTCTCTAAGTGAAATCACCTTCTTCCTACACTGACAGCACTTTCCATGGCAGGCAGCAGTGGGATTATAAGTGAACAGCTCTTTTCAGGAAAGAACAAGTAGATGAATCCCAAGTGCTGGCATAGATGAAAAGCGCAGAGAAGAAAATGCCTGAATTTAAGTACCAGAGAGCCTTGCAGTGGCCTCAGTATGTAAAATGTGGAAATGAAGCTACAAGAAATGGTAGGATTTACCCTGAAAGCACACTGCTCACAGAAGCTGCTTCAAAAAATGAACACGTATGACTGTAGCCTTCATTTCCCCAGTAAGAATGAGGAAGGAAATGCCCACCATGCAAAAGGCTACATCTTCATGAGAAGGATGCTTCCAGCTGAGGCTCTCAGAGCATCTACAGGGTACCTGTTAAGATTTGCAACACTTTGAGGCATGGGGATAAAGATCCTTGGTGCAATGAAGCTACAAATGTAACCCAAGAGGCCAAACCATCTCCAGAAGTTGTGCTAGCCACAGGAGAGCCTAGGACTGATCCCACAGACCACCTGTGCTAGGTGCTAACTGCAGCCATGTACTCATGGGGACAGTATTAGATTTCTTTCCAAGACCAGAGCCTGAACTTGAGCAATCAGGTGGTGATGAGCTGTCAGTAAAGCTCTTCCCATAAGTAATTTCCCTGATTATTAAAACAAAAAGAAAACCCTGAAGTGAAAGAAGAGAATTAACAGAGATGGTTTTAACCATTCAAAATCCTATGCCCACTCAGTAATTCTGCATGGAACTGCCCTCGTGGTCTCAGCAGACAAAGTCTGGGCAATGAAAAGAGAGCCTGAGATGCCTGGGAATGAGAAACCAGATTGGCTAAAAGTGAGGTAATCACCTCTATAATCTGAGTCCCTCAAGATCCAGCACAGAGGAATCTATGGGCAAAACATAAATCAGCTTTAATGGGCTGGAAGAAGATTTTTAGTTTATTTATTTTTTAAAACAACTGGGACCAAGCTTCATTGAGGCTAGCCAGTGGATAGTGTTACATTTTACAGCAGAACAAGGCTTTACATAAACTATCTCTGGCATTTGAAATCCAGGCCAGCAATTCGACATGTACCATTTCGCAATTCTCCCTTCTTGCATTTTCAGCAGCCTGTGTCTTGTTGGGAGCATGGTTTTTATTTTAATACCTCACCAGCTAGGGGATTTATCTTACCCACATCTGCAATTTATATGGTCAGAGAGCTCTTTGACATGAACAAAGGTTTCATTACTTTTATACGATTTTGTTCTTATTCTTATATCTCCTCCTGCTCTATTAGTCCAAAAAAAAAAGGTGGTTGAAAGAAACAAAAGTCCTGACTTTTGGTGCATTTTAAGTGTCACTTAATGGATGAGTGAAAAACCTGTATTAAGAAATCACCCAGACCTTCACCAAAAGTTTGAATCAAACCCAAAATAAACCCCTGCTGAGGTGGGCTGGAAATCTCTGATAACTTTTAAATGCCTTGTTTGATTTGTGTGCGTGTGTGAACTCTAGCACTTTCTGCTTCTCCCTGAGAACATTCACAAAAAATCTTAACGTTGCATAAAGAGCCTGTGTTTGAGACATGTGCAGCTGAGGTGTGCAGGCTCGGTACACTGGGCTGGTTTGAACAGCTTAGATAAGCTTCCTCCTGCTGAGGCTGATCCATCGCTTCTCAGACGAGTGGTTCAAAGTGGTACTGGGGTAAAAAGTTCTTTTAGGAGAAGAGTAGAACTAGAGAAGTGTGGGAAAAGTCTAACAGACACAACATTAGGAGTGGCTACAAGAGCCTCTTCTACACTAGCTGCTATCTAATAAACTTAGCTAATGGCAAAAGAGTTCTTTAAGATTTTGCAATAACAATCTGATTGGATAAAGAGTCCCTATCACCTCCAGACTCCACCACCTCAATAGGGTCTAACACATGTAGTAAATACATCCCCTTTTCAATTCTGCCCAGTTATTGAGCGTCACACCACAACTGCGAAGTCTAAGAACCATTTTCTGGGAGAGTCTTTCACATCTTTGCTTTTAAGGCATCCCTAGAAGATGGCAGCAGCGTGAAGGCACTTATTACTGCAGTCCCACCACTTTTAAGCTACAAGTTCCAGTGGCCTGGGAGACAGAGCATCATCTCTCCTCACAGCTACAAATTCACAGTTATGAGAAAGAAATAATTTCTAACATCCTCTGGTCTGCTACAGTGATACAAAACAGCAGCTAAAGCACCTGACAGCTGTGGAGGGAAGAAGGGATAGATGTACTCTTCATTTCAGGGTGTTACCAAACACTAGAGTATTTGCTTTGAAGAATGACGGCATCACGCAGGACTCAAAACTTCACTCACTGGGGTTTATCCAGGTTCTCAGACCCACACAGCAACTGGGATCCACAGGAGCTTAGTAGCTGCTCCAAAGCATTTGGGGACTATTTGTGTCTGCTTACTGGAAGCCCGTGTCATACCCCTCCCTAGGAAGCTGCTTTCAATTAAAAGAGCTGATGTCTGTTCCTCTCAGAGGTTCTAATCCAGCTCGTCTCCCACACACACATTTTGTACACAAACATCAAGAGACAGAATGAACAAGGCCAGAGAGCACTGTGGGATCTTCCCACAAGAGGGAATGCCTGGAGGATTCCCTTTGACTGATTTATACAAGCTCTTGTCAATCACAGGGACAACATGTTCTTCAAACCGCCTCTCCTGTTTTCCTTCTCTTACACAAGGGGACCGAGGAATGTGTCAGCAGAAAGGGAAAAGTGATATATCGGGAGCACTTAGTTCATTGCCACATCTAAAAAGCATTTACTATTGCAATCAACTCCATTTCCTCATAACATTTTCCTTCAAAGTAATATGGGAAAATTTGCTGAAGAGCAAATTTTGGAAGGCACTCTTGTGAATGATTCCCAGCCATCCCAAGCCTTCAGGCAATGTTAAGTCGTGTTGATGGGCTTCTGTTGTAGATGAACTACAGGTTGAGGATCACTGATCCCTTGGACTGGGCACTGGATTAGGTCTCAATCTGACAGGGCCCAGTGCATGGCCCCATTACAACCTTCTGGGCAGCACTTGGTTTCTCCTCTGTAAGACAACGATGATATTCCCCCCGTCACATGGGTATCTTGAGGGTAGAAGCCACTAGCCAAAAAAAGGTGCTCAGATGTTACAAAGAGAAGGGACAAAAAAGTACATACATGTGTGAAGGACACACCTCCCCACAGGAGTGGCTTAAATACAGATGCCATCCCACTCTGTCCTTCCCATGGAGCCAGCACAGCCAGACACCACAGGCTTTGCATACACTGGTGGTTCTCATCACTCATATTGTAACATCAAAATAATTCTAAATGCAGACAGGCAAAGCTGCTATTTAAACTAGGATGCTGCCCTACTCAGCCCTGGCATACGGCTGACGCTGTAGTTGGGGTGGACGTGCCTGTCTGCATGCCCACGGGCGGCTGTAAACAGAGCAAATCTCCAGTGCACAGATCTGTCTGCTCCCAAAACCCATCTGTTGTCCCATGGTGGGGTTTCCACCAGACCATGTCTTCAAGCTAAGTATGGCTGTGAAGGGCCATTGCAAGCACTTGTTCATCAGGCAACAGGGAGCAACCTCCTTCTTGGGGAGAAGGGCTGAAGGGGTTTTCATGCCCCAAACACGAGGCTCCTCCCTCTCTCCTTTCTATGGGGACAATCCTGCTGCCACTTCTGTACCAAGACAGACAATGCCGTGGGTTTCTGGACAAAACAGGCTATACCCTGTCCCATGCGTAAAATAACAACCACAGAACAAGCAGGAAGAGCATCTATTGGTAAAACCTACAGCATCATCTATCTGTGGAGCACACAACATTCTGAGTGAGGTTGTACAAGCAGACAGAAACACTCATGGACTGATACGAAACCCATGGAGGCACAAACAGGACATGTTCTGTTGTTTGAAGATCCAGCTAAAGAACAGATTTCAACCATAATACTGAAACCTAATTAATCTACAATTTTTAGCCGACTGCTCTGCAGAATGTTATTTATATTTAACTCAACACATGCCAGAGAATCCCAACCATGACATAAGCAGCATTTTAACACATCCCTTAAAAAAGAAAACTTGCTCTCTCCGTTGCCAGACATGGGGGCTGGCAGTCACCCAGACCTTTTATTCTTAAATGTGTTATTGTTTTTGCAGACCTAAGGTTAATCTTACCCAAGGATGAGGAACTATGGTGCAGTTGCTAAGTATCAGAAAGGTTCCTGCTTGTTTATTGCCCAATATTATAAGGCAGCTTGACTGCCACATGGACACCACCCAGTTTGCCGACTGCAGCACAGATCTCCAATCTGTTCTGAAAGCTGTTGCACTGTTCTTCTCATTTAGGCTGGGAATTGGGTTGGAGTTACAGAAAAAAATGAAATTGCCCACATTAGTGAGCGCTGAACCATTAAAA